GGAAGTTATTCTGCAGTAAGCTAGCCTTGTTCTCAAATTATCATTCTTGAATTAAAATTTCAGAGACTCTGGTCTTTTGAATTATGATAAAGTCCAAGGAGGGACAGAAATCTGTGGGCAGAACTAAACTATTCATTTTGATGAAGATGACCATATGACCTGGAAGACTATGCAAAGTTTTCAGTTCACTGTGATTTGGTCACACATTTCATTAAGGCACAGTTATCTTAACTACTGTTTATTGAATAAACTGCAGCTGACTGGGTGCATATATCAGTAGTCAACTAAACATAATACACTATACCAAAATAAAACCTTTGCATAATATGTGAATTCATATTCTACTCTTGATGTGGTAGTTAGGGTGCTGGACTAGAAACTGGGAGAGTGTGAATTCTAGTCCTCTCTTAGGCATGGAAGCCACCTGGATAACTTTCCATTTTTCAGGAAAAAACATAAAAAAGTACATTCTAGGTTAGTTATATATTTAGCTTTAGAACTTTTCATTTTCTTATCAAAAAATTGATAGGTTAAAAAGTTCAGTCGCTATAATTCAACTGGATAGGAACATTTTAGGGGAAATTGATGTGCAAACAGGTCTTCCTCTGAGGAAAGTGATACTTTTAATAGTCCAAGTAATTGACAGAAATGAGAATCCATGGTTAACCATTACTCTCAATGTACAATAAAATACAGCTTTCACTAAAATCAGGTTAAAAGACTATTACAGACAGGGGTTCTGATGGGATAGAAAGAGGATGTAGTGATCTCCTCTTGTGCTGCTACTGGTACTCCTTTATTACACTAAAGTTCAAGTTCCTAACTTGATTGTTAGGTTTATAGCTTAAGGAGACAAGCTTATTTGACTGATGCATGGTATAGCAACATATTCCTTTTCTTTGGAAGAGTATTGTTATACTCTTCCAAGAGGAAAGAATCTCTAGGGTAGCATGTCAGAGTTGTATTTCATTTGGGGCACTACAGATCTACTTTGTCTGTAAAATATTCAAACATAAAGTAAATGAAGGCAAATATAGAGTACATAATATGTACTCTCACAAGGGAAAGCAAATGTCTACAGAGTATCTGTGCACTTGCCAAAGTTGTGGTTTCTGGTTGCAATTAGCTCTTAGGTTGTTGGGCACTTTTACA